TTGTGTTAGAATCCTTTGCTAAGCAAATATACTCTAAGTCACCAGCTCGCTTTAATGAGAGGGGACAAGGGCCATTTAGCATGGTATAATATCCATATTGTCAAAGGAAGAAAGGAATGAATCCAGTTTAACCCTTCACATAAAAAGGCATCATTTCTTTTGGAGAAGGGACTATATTAATATTCCCTTTCAGATGGCAACCAATAGTTCTAAACTAGAAGAAGCAAGTCATGTGTTTACAGACACTTAGCCTGTTGATTTGGGCAGCTTGGATCTCTTGCCTCTACCGCAGAGGTGGACAAACTACGGCCCGCAGGCCACATTCGGCCCACGGGGCCCTCCTGCCCGGCCCCTGAGCTACTGGCCCGGGAGGCTAGCCCCCAGCCCCGCCACCGGCACAATGCTCTGGGCGGCAGGGCTGCGAGCTCCTGGGGCGGCGCAGCTGCAGAGCCTGGCCTGACCCAGTGCTGTGTGCTGAGTGGTGCGTGGCTGTAGCGCCACCAGCCACTGGTGCTCCAGGGAGCGCGGTAAGGGGGCAGGGAGTGAGGGGTGGATAGAGGGCAGGGGTGTTCAGGGTGGTGATCAGGGGGTGGGGGGTGGATAGGGGATGGGGCAGTCAGAGGGCGGGGAACAGGGGGGTTGAATGGGGGCAAGGGTCGGGAGGGGGCAGTCAGGGGCGGGGGTACTGAGGGCATTCAGGGGACGGGGGGAGGTGGATGGGGCAGGAGTTCCAGGGGGCCGTCAGGGAATGGGGAGGTTGGATGGGGCATGGGCCATCAGGGGGCAAGAAGGGGGGGGTCAGGCCACGCTCCCCTCCCCTAACTGGCCCTCCATACAATTTCCAAAACCCGATGTGGCCCTCAGGTCAAAAAGTTTGCCCGTGCCTGCTCTGTCGCCACACAAGGGTGTTGAAACTTCATAGCAATGGAGGATTTATTTGGGAAACCCAGAGGCCCAGTCAAGCAAGCACTGCCCAGAGATGGCTACATTTTTCTACAAAAAGAACAGGAGTACTTGTGGCACCTTAGAGACTAACAAATTTATGAGAGCATAAGCTTTCGTGGGCCACAGAAGTGGGCTGTGGCCCACGAAAGCTTATGCTCTCATAAATTTGTTAGTCTCTAAGGTGCCACAAGTACTCCTGTTCTTTTTGCGGATACAGAATAACACAACTGCTACTCTGAAACCTACATTTTTCTGTTAATCTATGCTAATTATAAGCTCCCTTTCTCCTCACAGGCATGGAAGTTTAGGTATGTTGCCTGCCACCTCCTTTAAAAAAGGCAGCTGTGAGTTTTCCATGGTTTCCTTTGAGGCTATCCAGCTGTCTGCAATGGACAGCCTATCTGTTTTTGTGGCTATTTCCTTTTCATTCTTACGTTTACGTAGAGTATTGTGTTAAGCACTAAACAAGCAGTTTAAACAAATTAGCAGTTGTGTTAAGTCTGTAGAGAAACACAGTTCAAGTTTTGGAAATCTGTGGAGATCCTTACTTGGGAATTTCTCTTTTAGCTGATACTGACAGAGAAAAACTGGTCAGAATTTAGCCTTTCAAATTTACAAACCTCGCTCTTTTCACATGGCCAGTTAAGTGCATTTTCCTCCTAAGGTTTTGTTAAGAGATTAACAATTCTGTCAAAGGTCTCAAATAGATCTTAACCAATAAACATCCCGCCCTCTGGTGGATGTTCAGAGGCTTAAAAATCTGACCATACCAAAATGAAACTGCCAAACTGACAGGAAGAGGCTGCATGGTGGTTTGAACAGAGTAGGCCAGGTATGCCCAATTCTAAACTCTTCCTTTCTTTCAGGGTTATGTCAGGAATTAGAAGGAATACAGTGCCGGATAAAAAATAAAAACACCTATTTCCTCTGCATTGTTATGATCTGGGAGTAACAGCAACTTCAAAGACAGAATTAGCAAAAAGAGCATGACTTTTTTTTATTTTTTTAATATTGGTGTTATGCTTTAGCAACTGAACCATTATATGCCTGCCGATGTTTTTGTAATGAATAGGATGACTGCATTTATAAGATCTAGACAAGATTTGCCCCCTTTTGTTTTCCATCATTAAAGTTTAAATTCAAATTACATTTGAAGGATAGATTATTTTTTAAACAACTGAATAGAGATGCAAGACTTGAATATGCTGGTCAATTGTATCATTCACACACCATTTAATATCTGCCACTATAAATTACTAACTTGGTCTATCAGCCTATAGCTATACTTGAAACATTCATTAGGCAGCCCTCTTGTGTGCTTTAGTAGCCTAATTGCACAGGCTCAAATACATTTTGCTGTTATGTCTAGGCCAACCCACTGGAGTTGCACAAGAGTAAAAAAGAAGAGTTTGCCCCATATATGGCATGCTAAAAAAAAATCCTTATATTCTCTATAGTGCAGCAAAAAATTTCAGTTCACTTGGAAAATATCACTAAACAAATATTGACTAATTAAACTCTTTATTAAAACTTATTCCATCTGTTCTTTATCTTGGTTTAAGTAGCAAGGTTATAAAGAGTGTTTGATGAGTGTAATAGGACTTCATAGATCTCTTCAGTAAGGCTACGATTTTGTCATGTAGGTCGTGGAAGTCACGGAATCCATGACTTCCAGAGACCTCCGTGACTTCAGCCCTGGAGCACCACAGGCAGTGTGGGGACCTTGCAGCTCCTGGCCACTGTGGGCGGCGGCGGTGGGGGGGAACGGACGACACTCTGATTGCAGTTCCTAGGCACTGTGGGCAGTGTGCTCTGTGGGCAGCGGGGACCCGCGCAGCTGCCCCACCTCTGCAGGCAGCATGGAGACCCCGCAGCTGCCCCACCGCTGCAGGTGGTGGGGGACTTCAGAGCCCCAGCAGCGATGGGTACTGGAGCCTTCGCCCGCCCCATTTTGTCACGGACATTTTTAGTAAAAGTTATGGATAGGTCACGGGCTTCTGTGAATTTTTCTTTATTACTTGTGACGTGTCCGTGACTTTTACTAAAAATATCTGACAAAATCTTAGCCTTACTCTTCAGTAATGTTTCTCTTTAACTCATTCCTATGGCAGACAAACTCAGTAGAAAAATACCACATTAGACAAAAAACATGCTTCCTAGTACTGCTTTTCCATCTCCTGTGAGTGTGAAATATAGATTCCTTTTAATTGATGATCAGGTGGGTTAAGATTACTTCACAAGAAAATCCTCTCTTCCGAACTCAGCTGGCGATCTCCATGAAGGGAGAAGACTTGTCTCCTAGTGGGTTGCTCTACAGAGTCTATTCCAGCCTAATGGCTAATGTAGCTTCCAGAATCCTAGGATCTGCCTAGCAGTGGATCCTTCAGCCCCATGCCTGACCTTCTATGCATCCATACACCTTGGCACACAGCCATACATAGACACCAATCCCCTATAGAGCTGGGCTCCATGCTGTACCATCCCATACAGTCGTTTTGTTTTAAATATCCTTCATCCATCCTATAGTATCTAAGTATCTGACCAACTCCTTGCATCACTTCCCAAAATCCTGCCTCCAACGGAATCATGCCAGGTGAGGGCAGGATTGACCTCTAGCTATGGTAGTGAATCCCCTTTGATACTTTTCTGGCACATTAGCCTAACAAAGGCAGGTTAGGTCAGGAGAAGATAAAGCAAGATTGGCGCATGACTTACTGATGTATTTATTTTTGTCACCAAAACCAGGCAGCTTGTCCTACAATATTACTGATCCCCATAACAGTTGCTTGGCAGGTCCAGCAATTCTGAAAAAAAAGAGAAAGACAAACTGAAATTAGAGGTTCTGTGAAATATAGATAATTGTAATTAAATCATTATTATACAGTCAATGATAATGACAAAATTAATTGTATCTGTTTAAGAACATTTACCCTAGAAAGGAGATCAATGTAAGTTCTTAAATAAAGAAAAGGAAGGTAATGAGATCAAGCTTAATATGAGATGAACTGCCTCTTGTACATCATGGGGATCACCAGGCCCTTAGGGTCACCCCTTTGTAATGATGATCTGCACTCCATTCCAAGTCACTTTTTAAAAGTCCTTTGTCCCAAGTCCCTTCCCAGGCATTTTATTGTGGGGAGGAAGGCAAATGGAAGGGAACAAAAAGGCTCTAGATTTGGGTATGGTAACTGCTATGTTGGGTTTACCACTTTTGGGCATCTTGGAGAGATGGGACCTGTACTCTGACTGTCTAGAAGATAGAATCAGGAGCTGAGGTAACTGTGAGCACCCAGGGCCACCCAGAGGATTCAGGGGGCCTGGGGCAAAGCAATTTTGGGGGCCCCTTCCATAAAAAAAAGTTGCAATACTATAGTAACATGTATTTGGAAATGTAAAAAATAACCAGTGAAATACATTCAAAAATTAATTGGTAATAGTTTGAAAATACACTAAATACATTATTTAAAAACATTAAATGCTTTAATGGTATGTATACATTTGCAATTACATAATGGGCTGTTGCTGGGTGATGGTGATGGTTGGTGCCAATGGGCTGTCGCTGCCTGCGAGTGGTGCTGCTGTTGCCCAGGGCTGGGTGGGGAGCTGGGCTCTGGGTTGGGGGGTGCCTGGCTCACAGGGGCTGGGCTCCGGGCTGTGGGGAGATGGGATCAGGGGGATGTCCGGCTCAGAGGGGCTATGCTCAGAGCTGGGGGTCAGGGCTGTGGGGGAGATGGGCTCAGGGGGGTGTCCGGCTCAGAGGGGCTGGGTTCAGAGCTGGGGGTCAGGGCTGTGGGGAAGATGGGGTCGGGAGGGGGTGGCCGGCTCAGAGGGGCTGGGCTCGGAGCTGGGGTTCAGGGCTGTGGGGGTAATGGGGTCAGGGGGGTACCCGGCTCAGAGGGGCTGGGCTCGGGGCTGGGGGTGGGGAATGGGGCCGGGGGGGGGTGCCCGGCTCAGAGGGGCTGGGCTCAGAGCTGGGGTTCAGGGCTGTGGGGGAGGATGGGGTCGGGGGGTGCCCGGCCCTGGCCCCTTACCATGCCGCTTACCCCCTCTCCCAGAGCCTCAGCATGCCGTGTCCAGGAGCGGCCCCGGACAGCGCTGCAGCAGCATGGTGTCTCCAGCAGGGCCTGAATTCCCGCCCGCTTACCAGCTGAGATGCCGGGGGATGGGGGAAGACGGAGTAAGCCTTCGACATACTCGTGGGGGCCCCTACGGGGCCCGGGGCAAATTGCCACACTTCTCCCCCCGTCTGGGCGGCCCTGTGAGCACCCATTTGCAGGCAGAGATGTTTTGAATCCCTTCCCACGCTGTTCTGGAAAGTTGTATGTAGAGGCCATTTGTGGGCACAGGGAAAGCCAAACACCAGAAGTACCAGGTTTGGTTACAGCCCCATTTCCAGAGCAGAGCTATTATCTCTGGGGACTCTTATTCCCTCAGTCTTGATCAAAGTTAAGCAAATTCTTAGGAGCCAGAGAGAAAAATGAAAGGATGGGATTTTCAAAGAGTCATGCTTGAAAACAGCTGCTCTGTGACAAAACCAACCTACTCTTGCAATATAGACCTAATGGCCCATAAAAGAAAGTTACACACGTGAATAGGTTTTTGCATGCAATTGTGAGCAGGGACTTTTCCTAACTTGCTGTACAATGAGAGTCCATATATTATATGAAATCCAGAATCATCACCCCCCAGAGGCTTGATTTTATTAATGAAGAAACAGCAATAAGATAATAAATATTAGCTTAAAGCCTCTCCATCTGCTTGATGATCCTCTCTCAGTAATGCTTTTCCCACACTATAGACCCTCTCTTCCTAGCAAGCTACTTACCACCCCACTTATACCCAGATGATGGAAGTCACCTGCTTCAGTGAGTCAACAGAACTCATATAACCCTTTCCCATCAGGATCAACACCTGCTAACAGAATGGGGTTGTTTTAGATAAACATTGCCAGCCTGTTACAACAATGCTACCAGTTACCAATCTTGAGAGGTGGACATAAGGATAATATTTGTTCAGATAACAGTTACTTATATACTAGTGAAGCCAGCAGTATGAGGAGTGGTTATATTGTGTCAGATAAATGCTGGATTATCTCAATTTGATAATCTGCTCGCTTTCTCGATCTCATTGACATCACAAAATCAATACGTTCTGCTAACAGATCTTATGCTTGCAAATTAATGAATCTAGCAGATCAACAATATAGGCATGTTTGACACTGCATTACCTTTGTGGAGTAATATCAAAGTGACAGATAAGTAAGCTATAAATCCTTCTGTCAAGCTCTGAAAAACTACAGTACCTCTCCAATCACAGTCTGGAGAGTTCAGGATGGCATTCATGCGTTTTGAATGACTAATTGATCCACACGTTATTATGTACAATATGTTGTATTAGAAAAAGGGGTTGCGAATGTATGCTGTAATTTTCTTACACTCATGGACCCTGAAATTTAAAACATGAGATTTCGAAGATGATAAAGGTAAATTCATTTCTTTACCCACATCAGAAAAAAAAAATCCCCAATGTCTAGACAAGAATGTTAAACATACAGTTTAAATGTCACAGTGCTCTTTCTCCAAAATGAGAGAAATACTAAGCAATTGCATTTTTTCACTTTCAGGTTCTTCCCACTGCAGCTTTTGAGCTATGAAAACAATTTATTATAGCAGTTCTATTAGTCTTAAGTTTTATAGAAGTTTGTTTTCATTTAATTTACATTTAATTTGGGGGCCAAATTCAAGTTGATAGTGTTCATAAGGACCTGATCCTGAAATCTCTTATTTCATGGGAGTAGCTCCTTGACATCCATGACATTATTTTTGTGTTGCAGGCTTAGGCCCTGAATTAGCATTGGTATGTAAAATTATACAGAACCTGAATTTTGTTATCCTCTGTTTATAATGAAAAGGACATTTTTCTGTTATTATTACTATATTTTAAGGAGGCAGACATGTTTTGAGATCACTTAAAAATCGTAGCTAAACACAGTAGTTTATACATCTGCATTTCTAATGTACAGAATGCCTCATTTAGCATATTAGGGAAAAAGCTTCCACAAAAGTGCTGCAGTAATAGTTGTTAGGGTCAGGATAATGTGTCGCCGCAGGATTACACAGCAATTCTCTGGAAAGAGATCCTGATAGCCTGCCAATGTTGGGGTTTCTTTTTAAAAAGGAAATCTGCGGTTGAGGTCTGCAGTACTTAGCCATCCATCATGATGTGCTAATCTAAAGACAATCTGTTAGAGACCAGGATGAGACCTATGTGGGGAGAAGTTACCCCACACCTGCCTAATTTGGGGTTCTTTCACTTTCCTCTGAAGCATCTGGCACAGGCTATTGTGAGACAGGATACTAGACTAGATGGATCTAGGGTCTAATCCATTTTGGCAATTCCTGGGTTCCTAATGTCTAGGACATTCCCAATCCCATGGCCTTTACACATGTGGAGTCCTGTTCCAAATTAGGCAGAGCAGGGATCCAAACCATATCAGTGATCTATCACCAGGCTATTGACTATGTAGTGTATGTGTGTCTCCCTTCCCCTCCCCCCTTGTTCTGACCAGAAATTCCATCCTGAATCTGAGAAACCTTCCCAACAAAAGGTAGGACAAATCTCACCTTGTCCTGTGAAATGTTTTGGTTTTGATGAATCAGCATTTTCCAGTGGCAAAACTATTTAATCCAAACATTCCCACCCCACTCTACTGCCTAACCCCTACTCCTTTGTAGTCTTCCTGTGTCCAGGTATTACTGCAAAAGAATGATGGCTATTGAAGACACAGGACAACTGTTAGCTATTATCAAACCCCAGCAGTAATGAATGCTAGGGCATAAAGAAAGTTTGATTACATGCATGTACAAACACTCATGAACGTTGTCAAAGAAAACTGCTTCAAACAGCAGTGAAAACTATGAACCACAAGGATTTGGCCCACTTTTGCTCAAGCACTTTGGGGCAAGGACTGTCTGACCTTTGTGTATTATACAGTCGTGACGACATTGGCAGCAGCAAACTATTTTTGTCTAAAGAAAACTTTCATTTGTGAATTTACATTGCGTCTCAGGAGAGATTTCCAATTCAGTGTAAAATGAGAATAGCACCGTGCTTCTTTTCCCATGAATTTTGGACATGCATAAGCGTTAGATTTATCTGAAGGGCTAATTCAGCCCACTGTTGCATTGACTTCAGTGACAGATTCAGTTCAGACCTTCACTTGTCTTGGAATTTAATTGGCCTTGGTGTCAGTACCAACAGTCTCAACCTTAAAAAAATATAAGTAGCATTGTTCTCAAAACGGTCTAGTTTGGGATTTTTGCATGCTATTCTTCACTACTTAGTGCCTCTTGGGTTAAACAAAAACCACTCGGGAGTCAAGGACTAATGAGCTAGTGTTATTGTAATAATCCGTTTTCTTTCAAATAGGTTTGTTGCACACTTGAAAATATGCGAGGACTGGAATTGTGGAACAAGAAACTGTGGCCTTGAATGTTCAAAACTAAAAGGAATGTACAGGAGACAAAACGGACGAGACAATGTGAAGCGGCAGCATCAGAATGTTTCAGCTGTGACTTTTCCCCAGGATTGTTGGATCAGGGTTGTTACACTAACTGCAGTGATTCATATGCAGCACCAGGCCTCCTTAGGACATGGCCTTCATGGACATTTTAAAAAGTGGTCTCTCCATACTTTAAACAAAGCTTTGACTCAGATTTGATAAACTTTTGAATAAACATGTTACCCAAATGGGCAATCCATATTACTGTTTACGAAGTTTAAAGTCACATGTTGAAAACTTTCCTGGCTGTTAGTTCAGCAGGTCAGTTCTGCTGTTGGAATAGAGCCTAAAATCACTGCAAGTTAAATTCGGTTCAGAGCAATATTACAGAAAGGGATTGTTTTGTAAGGTGTGGGTATTTGTTTTGTTTTGTTTTTAATTTTGTGAGTCTTGTATTAGGGCAGCAAGAGAGAATCCAATATAAATCTGGAGGATTAATTATCTAACAGGATACTTTGCACACTGTTTAAATTCAAGTTCTTATGTACACATGTAAAAGCAATACATTAAAGACTGACCTCGTTCAATTAAAAAGTATGCAAATCAGTTTGCCGGGGGGTCATTCTGTTTTTATTTATACAAAGGAATTTAGTATACTTTCTAGAAATCAAACTTTCCTAAGCCGATTCCATGTTCTATATAGTCTTTAGCTACTAAAACCTAGATTTTATGGAAGACAAAGGTACCTGAAATACAAATAGCAAGTAATTTTGCATTAACTACTTTAAAAAACATAGTTCCTGAACTGAAGTAGCAGGAATGATGCAGGTCCTGACTGAAGTGCATTAGCAAAACTGTGAAAGGAAGGTACTTTAGGAAAGGCAGGTGTTACTCCTGCTATGTCTACAGTTCGGACTACAACAGGGGTAGGCAACCTATGGCATGCGTGCCGAAGGCGGCACGCGAGCTGATTTTCTGTGGCACTCACACTACCCGGGTCCTGGCCACCAGTACGAGGAGCTCTGCATTTTAATTTAATTTTAAATGAAGCTTCATAAACATTTTAAAAACCTTATTTACTTTACATACAACAATAGTTTAGTTATATATTATAGACTTACAGAAAGAGACCTTCTAAAAACATTAAAATGTATTCCTGGCACACAAAACCTTAAATTAAAGTGAATAAATGAAGCCTTGGCACACCACTTCTGAAAGGTTGCCAACCCCTGGACTACAGGGATGTGAACTGCAAGATGCACTAGCATGCTGTGCTATAGCTCCCCCATTTGGACACGGCTTGTGCGAATTAAAAGGTATGTCATTTGGGTTAATTTAGGGCTTGTCTACATGATCCTGCAGTGTGGACTACAGGGGCATGAGTTGCAGCTCACACTAAACTGTTGCACCATAACTGCCCCATGCAAATCCTGCTAGTGCAAACTACAAGGTAAGTAGTTCACGTTAACATAGTCCCCTTTCCAATAGGACCACCTTAATGTGAACTAGCTAGTGCATGCTGCAATTCACACCCCTGTAGTGCAAACTGCCACGCCATGCAAACAAGCCCTTTTATTCTAATGAGGATTGAAAGCTGAACAGTTTCATTTCCCCAGAATAAAACTCTGTGGACAGCAAAATCAGCCCCTAAATTAAGTTGCAAAAGCATTGCTACCATAACAGAATTGACCTCTTTTTTCAGACTTCCTATATGCTATTGCTATTAGAAGTGATAATATTTCTTTCCTCAGCAGACAGCCAAGTGTGCATTTTCTTTGCACCCATCTCAGCCTTTCAAAGCCAGTCAGGACAATGTAGGCTGATACTACAGTTCCCCATGAACCAATCAGCATGCTTGTTGAAAGCCGTTTTTCCTCTGCCCTGGATGCTTGCGCTTCCATCATATATTTGAACTCTCCAGCAAAGTGAAGCAATAGGTCACTCCCAGTCCCCAAGCTTCTGTGTCATGAACAAAGCTTTCAAGGCTAGTGACTGCTCCTGCAAGAGGCAGAGTAAGTCAGACAAGCGACTCAGCACTTCACAGGTGTGGGTCCTTGCTGGGGACAGCCAACATGGTCATAGCAGGGTGACGGAGTGCTGAGCGCAGTGTTCTTTGCTAGACAGTCCCTGACTTGTCATATCTTTGGTCAAAATGTTCAACGGTGGAGACCTCGATTTAGGCAACTACTCCGTATGTAGGCACTGATATAAAGGGGGCCAAATTTTAGAATTGCTGAGCTCCTGCTCAAATGTCCATTCGATGGCAGTCTAAACACAGGATGTATTGAATCAGTTCAGTCTTTGTTCAGGTTTGAGAATGATGTATCTGCTGCTTATGTACCTCCTACTTACCACAAAGAGGTTCCCGCAGTCACTAAAAGCCCTCTGGCAATAAATCTAAGAAATGTATTTTCATGGAACACCAAAGAGGGGGCCGTAGATCTTGACCCCATTCTTGGCAGATAATCCTGACACCACTTTAAGACGCAGTCTCTGGGTCAGTGTTTCATTGACGGCGAAGCAAGGGGAATACCTATTAGCTTAGCTCGTCCATCTTTTTGTCAGTTCATGATTGTTCCCTACAGTGGATTTAGGCCCAGATCTTTAAAGGACTTCAGGCATTGCTCAGCTTTCCACTGGCTGAGGCGATGAAAGTCCTGAGCCTGACATTGCAACTGGGAACCAACAGATAATTGAGTAACTTTTAAACAGAACATCAAAACTATTTAGCAAATGAAATAGTTACTGTAAAAAGAATGTGCAATTTTATTAAATTTTAAAAAGTTTACAAAAAAAGACACAAATAAATTGCATCTGAGTTTATACAAACTATACATTATCTTTACATGCCTCAGACTCATTAAAGAAACATACCAGTGCAGCTAAGAAACGTTTTATACAATCCAGTGTAAAAGCTCTGTAACATTCAGTTATCTCACTAACTGTTTAGTAAGATCTTTCCATAACTTGCTGTGAGAGGGGGTTGCAAAATATGGCCCTAAAATAGTATCCATTGTCCCGTGCCACAACTTTGTTAAGAAAAGACAACTTATAGGGCTGCCACCAATGTGCACTCCAGAACGTCTGCGGATATTGGTGGGAATTTAACATGCAGGAGTTGGCCCAAGACTATAAAACCATTCATGAAGATTAAATGGGGAAGGGCAGCAGGGATAGGTTGTTGTTTTTTTCAGAGAGTTTTTCCCCTGTCCTGCCAGGTGTTAAAATGAAGAAAATGGCTCCTTTTCCAACTACAAACATGATCACCTGGATTCCGTCTCTCCCCGCCCCCAGCCCTGTCTCCCTCTCACCATTACCTCCATTTAGCTGGTCTTCTCCCACCCCCCATCCCCTTTTTTTAAGCTGGTTCAATCCTCCCTTACCCCTTTTCTTTATTTAGTCCTCTCTTTGTCCCCTCTGAAGAGATTCTGGAAACAGAGAAATGTCAGCAGAAAGGCATAAGTTGTTGGAAAGAACTTGAAGGCTCCTCTCAAGGTGGGTTGCCTTTAGACAAAGGAATGAGAACATATGAGTGTGTTTCAGAAGTCAGCAGAGACCAGGGTTCTGTGGTTGCTCCTGAGCAGATGACCGTCTCACTAACCTTTCAAGTTCAACAGGAAGATGCATTGCCTCAAGTGTTTTGCACATGGCTGGTATCAGCCAACCAATGTGTGACAATGTGGGAAAGCTATTCCAATGAGAAACATTAGCCCAGATGGGTAACTATGGGCAGCCACCGTGACCTGTCCTAGAATTTGGAGTCTGCAAAGGACTGGTCATCAGATTAAATTAGAGTAGCTTACACCTGGCTGCCTTTGACCTCCAGGGGCTGTTCCAGCAGCCAGGAATAGCTGGAATGCAGCTGTACTTTAGTCCCTACACCCAAGGGAGATGACGGAGTCTCTATGCCATTCTGGGTTTCCTCTTACCAAGGGGAAATGTTCAAGTAGCTGATTGAGCTAATTTTCAGCTACTTTGCAACACCAGAATGAGGTGCAAGAATCTAGCCTTACAATTTTCAGAGTATGTAAAGTCATCTCCAACTTCTCCCATTTAATCTAATTTTTCCCATTTCCAGTCCTTTGCACAGGAAATCATTATGCTTGTCCTGACACTTGTCTCTAGAAAACCATAAAATCCCTCCAGTATCATAGGGGCAAACTGAAATAAATGGGAGATCAACGTCTCGCCACTCAATTCAGTAGGATCCGAATTTGGATCATTATATACAGAGGCTAGCAGCTAAATGTGCTGATATACTGAAATTGGCTCGTCTAACATGCCTTGTTCTTTGAGACTCTGTAAATGTGGTCTATGAAACAATGTGAAGTTGTGATTTCATGTTGAAGTTGTGATTGTTGAACAGTCTGTGTCAACTATCATGTTGGGAAGGGTAAGTGAGAGATCGCAGAACCCTGAATCCAGTTCCTGAACATGAATAGGAGAGAGAATACAGATTCATTTTCAAAATCAAAACTTTCAATTTCAAATCTTTTGCTTCACAAAAGCATTGTGTGTAATTTGACATGTATTTTGTGTTAATGGCCCTCAGGTTTTTCTACAACTTCCCACAGTCAGCTCAAACAAACTTTCCATTCATTCAGATACGTCAGTTTTCAGATCTCATTTAAGAGCAGTTAAAAATCTGATTGCATATTTCCACAGTCATTTTTCAGGATTTCTGTGCAGCAGATTGAACCCTTTTAAATGGCTGTGGATTTCTGTGAAGCTCTTTTGTTAAAAACCATTCACATTTTCTAGCTTTAATTTCACCTTTCCCTGTAATTTTTTCCTTTGTCATCTTATTTAAAGGACTCTACATCAACAATAAGCAAACAACAGATTTGGGTGAAACACCATAAGAAAGCAACATTATCACTGCAGATGTGATTAGTGTAACATTTGACAAAAATGCTGATAAGTGCCACCTGTAAATTCAGAGGATTGGGTAAATATGCCGGGATTTTCATGCCCCTATGTCAGTATGCTCCCATCTTTAGGCTGAGCAATCTTGCTAATGTTCTAAACCCTAATGCTTACAATGGAGATTTGCATATGAAAAACTCCACTAGACTTCGATAGTTCAAACTCACCATGCCATCTGCAGTTTCAGATACAGTGGGCATCACAAAAAGAATCATCTTATCCACAGCTATATGCCACCGTTCCCATAGACTTAATTTCTTCACGCTGAGTGGGAAGTGTGGTTATTATACAGTTTTATATAATGGAAGCACCCCGTTTATTTTTAATGGTGACCTCTGTAGCGTGATCTTCTTTATACCTGTGAAGCTTCATCCTACATAACTCTTAATGGCTTGTTCAAGGGGAGCAGAATCGATCCATTTGAATAGCATTTGAATGGACCTGCTTAACTACAGAACGAGCATTTGGACCTCTGCTGTTTTCAACTGTCCTCAGAAGCGCCAATGTAATTTTCCATTCTGTAGCTTTCAGGAAAGCTAGTGTAGTTGCTAGGTTTTTTCCTCATTCATAAAGCAGCAAACAAGATGGGAACATTCAGTAATAATTTCACCTCTTCTTAACATTACCTGTGAAAATGATGAAAGCACAATATTAGTTCTGTGCCCTTCAGCTTCATCACCAAGGTTCATCTCCATGAAATCAAAAGTATCTTGCTCACACTGGTGTTAGTGACACTGACATCAGTAGGGTTGTAATTCTGATTTAATTCAGTGTATGCGAGATCAGAATCAGGCTCTAAAATGGCTTGCAAATTTATTGCCAGGGAACTGGGCAAACAAACTATGGAATTAGAGTCTGCAAACTGCTTACACTTCAGAGTCTTGATTTACAGTCTCTGAAAAAACTAAAAGACACAGTGTCTAATAATAGCATGCAGTGGAGAGCAAAGAGGGCCATTCAATGACCAGAATGCATAAAGTTTTTGTGCTCGGAGCAGGTCTGGAAACTCAGGGTGATGAGTGGAAGATGCTGAATATACCATGCTTGGCTAACAGCATATATGCTTCCTGCAGCATAATGTCGAGTAAAGTGTTAACTGTATGGAATAGTAATAGCACAGTATCAGAGATGCCGGCTGGATACTTTCATAGAAACCACCTAGGATTAAGATTTACAGCATGAATCCACATTGCCTCCCAACCACAAACTAGATTGAGAAGGGAAAAGGGGACTGACTAGATATGATCAAGTCGTCTCTTGTCAAATCACTCCTCCCCTCACTTTCCAAACCACTGTGCCTTCCCACTCCAGATCCTCTGCTTTTTATCCAAGCATGAAAGGAAACAGTAGAAAATACTGTGAACGTTTTTTCTAAACATGTTTGTAGAACTGGAAAATGTAGGCTGTCAATCGGTGGCGAAGCTCCCACTTTGTAAGGCAACGTTTTGAAAGAATACAAACTACACAGTGGGCCTAATTCTGAAATTCTCACCTCAAACCAAATGGGAGGAATCAGTGACGACATTGCCTAAGAAGCAACTTTGCCTGTGTAAGGATTTTGGGAATACCCATTGTGTTTCTGGAGCAATCCTGGGAGCATGTGGGTTGGTGAAAACCTCTGGGTGGATCAGAGCAGCCGAACAGTGCATGTGTTGCATGGTGTTCAGAAGATCTTCCAGAATCTCTAACTAGACACCAACATGGAGGAGGGGTTTGGCAACCATGTGAGTGCTGATTTCAAATGCAGACAAGTTTTTTCCAAGGCATAACAGGAAATAGCTCAAATCTTTACATGTTGACAGACTCTTCTCTCAAACACTGTATGTTCCATAGTGACTACAAGCCACTTACTGGCTTTCCTATCATATGTTCTTTGTTTTTTTCCCCCACAGCAGGGCTTCCCTTTGGTTCACTGGGGAGAACAAGGATCTTGGCAATAAAGCAGATCCCTTTCTCCATATCTCTAGGACTCCATGAAAACCAACAGTACTCCCTTAAAACATTGCCGTTCCCCACCCTCATCAAAAAGGACTCTTGCCTCTCAGGGCACTAATTGTTGCAACCCTGTTCCACCAATGTCCCTATCCCAACCCTATGAGCCTCTTAATAACCAACTCCTCAGACAGAGTATCCAGATTACAGGGTTAAAAGAATAAAATAGTTCAGCTACCTTCACAGGATCAGCTGGTTCTACAGCAAACTGATCCTAGAATCTAGCTGTTGAAGGTGCTCAAGAACTCCATAGGGAATAGTAGGGTTCCACATCCTAAGAGACAGTGAATTGAAAAGGAAAACAAAAGATTAGCAGAATTTTTAACTTGCAAACTTCCATCACTATTTCTCTGCAACAGCTGCCTTTCGTTTTCAAATATATTTAAAGTTGTTACATTTCGTCCCGCCCTCCTTTTATTCTAAGGACCACAGACCTATATTCTTTTCAGTGGAAGAAAGAGAGGAAGGGAAAACCATTCAATCAGAGAGTCCTCTGTGGCTCAGGTCATAGAATGAGTTACGTTCACCTCTTTGGGAGCAGTGTTGAGTTCCCACCAAAAACCCTGACCCTGAGTGTTTGTCAGAACTGACAGCTCCACTCCCCCAGAGCATTGGCCACTGATCAAAAGGGGTTGTCCATATGCCTGCCTTTCAGAACTGGCAGCCTCACATGCCACAAAAAATTGATGTAAAGTGAAGTATTAACATATGCAAAGCCAGCTAGAACACAATGCAATGGGCAAGCTGCAGCCGGCTTACTCTCTAATTCCGCCCCTTAGTTAACAGCCCCCCTATTGTTAGGGGAGAGGTGGGGGGCTGCAGTCAGTGAGAAGGAGCATACAGCGTGCCATAAAAGCACAGAAGAAGGTGAAAGGAAAAGGCTAGAGTACATCTGAAAATGGTAACTTTTCAATTGTTTGTTTGGAGTGTCCTGTTTATAGAATTGACTGGACAACTACATCCCTGCTATAGAATTCTACTGAATGGTTTAGCAGAAAGCACTTTCTATATTTGTACAGGATTTTAGCACAATTTCTATAGAATCCCACTGATTTCATCCCAAGTAAGAATTTTATAAATCCCCATTACATTCAATAGCACTGGTCCAGAGAAGTGAATTTCTCCCTGTTCTGGTGAGCCGGTGGGGATCCTGAGCGGAGATAGGACATAGGGAGGAGGACACTAGAAACCCATCATAAAAAGGGCCGTGACAAGGCTAGCAGGTCTTATAATTAACTGTCTTGAGAGTTGTCCTATATTGTAGCTCTTACTTTAGAAAGCATGTATTTTTAGTGTGAACAAACCTTAGCTTGAATGCTGTTATCAGAAATGGACCTGAGCCACAAAGTTCGGTTTCAGACATGCATTTCCCCAGATAGGAGTGTTTGGATCCAGGTTAATATCCCTTCTCTAGCTATTATGAGGGCAGATTTGTTTAAGATTCCAGGTCCAGTAAGTCCATTTGTTAGTGCTGTAGCAAAGGCCAGTTTAAAGTTAGTTATGTGGCTACAATCCCTGATGTAAGAGCTGCCCTCCAGGATAGCTGCCCAGGTAAGTTAATGCCATTGTCCAACACCCTTGGCAGTGCCTTTTAAAATGCAGGCTTCGACTAGGCATTTCAGCATCAGACATTGCACTTTTAAAAAAAGTTTCATTGCTTTGTTTTGTTGGCAGCTCCTAGATCAGGGGTGGGCAAACTTTTTGGCCTGAGGGCTGCATCAGGTTTGGAAATTGTATGGAGGGTTGGTTAGGGGAGGGGGTCGTGGCCCACCCTCCCCGCACTATCCCCCCCACCGGGACCCCTACCCCATCCGCCCCCCCGCTCCCTGTCCCCTGACTGCCCCCCCCGCCACGCCATCCAACCCCTTCTCTCATTCCTGACGGCCCTCCCGGGACCTCTGCGCCATCCAACCACCCCTTCCGCCCTGGCCCCTGACTGCCCACGGAACCCCTGCCTCTGACTGCCCTCCACCGGCCCATCTAACCCCTCCTCTCATTCCTGACTGCCCCCCCAGGAATCCTGCCCCCATTCAACCCCCCTGTTCCCCGCCCTCTGACCGCCCAGACCCCTATCCACCCCCCACCCCCTGACCACCACCCCAAACTCCCCCTGCCCTCTATCCAACCCCCCCGCTCCCCACCCCCTTACCACGCTGCCATCACCCCCGCGCAGCACAGAGCACCTGGTCAGGCCGGGTCCTGCAGCTGCGCTGCCCCAGAAGCTCGCAGCCCACCGCCCAGAGCATTGCGCCAGCGGCAAGGCGAGCTGAGGCTGCAGGGGAGGGGGGACAGCAGGGGAGGGGCTGGGGGCTAGCCTCCCGGGCCAGGAGCTCAGGGGCTCGGCAGGAGGGCCCCGTGGGCCATATGTGGCCTGTGGGCTGTAATTTGCCCACCTCTGTCCTAGATGAAGCCTGTGTCAGACTGGCATTAGCACAGTTTTCTTGGGGCTTGTGAACTAAATGCTATTTGCAATGTTTTTTAAGCCTGGTATTTAAGCTCGGGAAGCGAGTATAGAAATGTAAACCCAGTCAATGCCACATGAAAGAAAATGAAGCTAAATGCCATTGTCTGACTTGACAGCAGAGTTCAAATAAAACATTTTAATAGTGATGATTTAATATGAAGTGTAACAGGCTGTCGAGGGGAAGTCTGTGAGGACAGTAAACTTTTACTTTCCAACACCAGTGGCATGCAATTCCCAAATGGAAGAGTAAAGGTTTACAGTCCTCACACACTTCTCCTTGACAGCCTGTTACACTTCATATGAAATCATCAGATTATAGAGCTTATGCTCCCTCTTGGCTTTTTGAGGTACGTTCCCAAGTACAGACACTTGGGGCCAGGCTGTGACTGTGGAACATCTGCCTCCCTTTGTGTCTCTTTGGTTGGGAAGAACCCTAGAATGCAAAGTGGCCCCGTTAGGCAGGAGGTGGGGTCACATCTCCCCCGTCCCAGCCCACAGAGCAGGTTAGGTACATTGTGGGGAGCAAACTGCATGGTGGGAAGCTCTATGCAGGCTATGTAAATGGCACAGACTAGCCCTGTTGTCACAGAAGGGGTTAGAACCAACAGAGTGCAGTGACAGACATTTCTGTCAAGTCAGTTGCTACTTTTGGACTAGTGATATTTTTAGTTTCTTTTGCAAATCTGGCGAATCCATTGACCAGCATCAGAACAAATCCCAACCCGGTTTATAGATCTAAGCTATAACGACACAGTCCAGAGACTTACGCCACACTCTTGATGTGGGGGCATTTTCTGAGGCTATCAGTCAGCTTCTGGGCTCCGGCATCAGTTATCTTGTTACACTGAACACTGAAGGCAAAAACACATTTGCTGGCTGTTAGTCCAGGACACACTAACCATCACACAGTCACTAACCAATCAAAAATCATCCTTGAGATAAAAGGAGATATGGGGATTAATTTAAAAAAAAAACAATTAGTCCTCAAAGGAAAACCCAGGTTGCCATCTGGTCCTTGATTAAGACAGTCAATCTCCTGAGCCATCATCCCTTCAATCCACACGAGTTCTCCATCCTCCTAATGTTCCACCTTCTTCTACCACTTTTCTCCCATCCCAAACTCAATCTTCTACTCTGCTAAATGTTCTCTCATCCAAAGTTGGCTTGTGGGGCCTGGAATGTCCCACCCCCAATCCCAACCCACCAGCTTCCTTTCCTCCTGATTTTAGGAATCTAGTACTGGCTGGACTAATTGTGACATACTACACGATTAATTATAAAGCATATGAAGTGCTATGAAGTGCTAGAAGTCACCGCAAATCCCTTCAGACTCTGTGTGGTTTAGTGGCTCCTGGACATACAGTTATATCTGGAACGGTCCCTTAAATCTTTCTAATTGTTGGTAACTACATCTGGACCCAGCACACGCACATTTCTGCTGTCCAAGGAAACTGGGGAAGGTATATAGCTTTCCTGCTCTTTTTTTTTTTTGAAACAAATGAGTCAGATAAGCCTGTAGTGCCCTTAAGAATCTCCCTGGCCTTCTCAAAATCCTGTGGCTATCACTGTTTGTAGTGGGCAAGAATTGTTTATGTTTTGAAAGCGGGAGCAGAATTGTCTTTCAGGCTTAACCATAAATACTAATGCTTTATTAGGCTCTGTCTTGTAACCTACCCCCAAGCTTATGTCCTATTCATTGCCCCCTGGGTTTCCTCTTCCTATCCCAACTGCCACCACAAAGCTTTCCCCAGTTATTCCCCCTCAATTCTCTCCTTCCCCTCTTCTCTCCGTTCCCACGAACACAGGGGTGCAAATACCCAGTTTCCAAGCATTTGAAACTCCTCAGCTGATGGTAACAGCAATAAAATATTAATCTGCAAGATCAGATTTTATAGTATCTAAGCAAGCTTTTTTCCCCTTTAGCCTCTCGGAAGATTTGATACTTACTGTAGCACCCTTAAAGATGCCATTGCAGGAAGTATTTTTGCAATATTTTCCGCTCCAGCATCACAAATGTAGTTATTGTACAAACTGCAGAAAACACAGACAGTAGGATCACCATTAAATAAAGCAAAATGTTCACTAATAAGTTAAAGAAAAGAATTCCAGACATGGCTGGTACATAGTAGGGTATGATTAATTCTTATTAATTTGCAACCATTCTGTACATTATGGTTTTAAAATATTTTAAATATGAAATTACAGTCCTATTGAGAGCCAGGTATTCCCCTTGTTCAGTTTACAAACATAAATCAAAAATAGGATTAGACATTTAAACAGATAATGAGAACATCTTTGGTTACATTAGATATGATTTAAAAACCTGCAGAGGCTAAAACAGAATGCTTCAGGGCACAAGGGTTAGGAGGAAGCTTCCCTTAGGCAAATTATTCCATAATTGAACTGTAGGGTTTATTGTGCCTTCCTCTGAAGCACAGGTGGGCAAACTATGGCCCGTGGGCCACATCCCGCATGCTCTGTGCTGACCCGGTGCTCTGTGCTGCGTGGTGGCGACGGCATGGCTGGCTCCAGCGGGGCAGCGCAACTGTAGCACCACCAGGCACCAGTGCTCCAGGCAGCGTGGTAAGGGGGCAGGGAGCAGGGGGAGTTGGATAGAGGGGAGGGGAGTTTGGGGGGGTGGGCAGGGGGCGGGGGTGTGGATAGGGGTTGGGGAGGTCAGAGGGCGGGGAACGGGGGGTGGGGTTGAATGGTGGCAGGGGTCCCAGGGAGGCAGTCAGGAAGGAGGGGGGCTGGATGGGCCAGCAGGGGGCAGTCAGGGGACAGGGAGCGGGCTGTGTGTGGATGGGGCAGGGGTCTATTACAGTATGTGGGCATTATTCATTCCAAGTATAATCATTATCTTCTGACCTAAGGCACAGGAACACTTTATACAAAGCAATAGAATAGAATACGAACACTCACCTAAGTGTCTTTAATGAGGATAAGGAAGGAAGAGCAGTAGCTAGTTGCTCTGCACCCAAATCTGTTATCTTGTTCTGTGATAAGCTATTACAAATAAAATGTTCTTGTTAATAGAGCTTAATTAAACCAGATTATCACAATGTTGAGTAATTTTTTTCCATGTTGCTCTAAAAATTTGACACTGAGATGTAACATGAGAATGTAACCCTATAACCACCAATACTCTGACATTTTCCCATCCCAGAATCATTTAAGATGATGTTGTCCTTCCAGATTATCTCAGAGAAGACTGGGTCAATGTGGAGCAGTTCTGAGGGCCGTAACCAATATTTTTTTTTAAAGCAGACAAACCAGATAGAGGATTTAACCCTATTTGAAAAACAAAAGCCTGAAATCTCCTCTTGGTGATTTTCAGTGTCTAATGTATCTAAATGAACAAACTATATATTTTGCTAATTAGGCCAGACCCTGCCATCCATCCACACTCAAAGTCACCACTGCCTCCAGTGGGTATTTCACATCTGGAGCAATGGCAGGATCAGACATTAAGAAATTTCTCTTAATATTGTACTATGAATAAGGCAAACTTGGGAAAAATTAACTGCTTGCCTTGACGCAGAATTAGGAAGCCTCAAAGCACAATCCCAACTCTGAGTGCCATAGGATTAACCTATTTCTCTTTCCTGGCTCCCAGAAGTTGGCACTGTTAACCTTGCAACTTACTTCAACGTTTCCAGTGAAGTCAGCGCCGACAATACTTCACAGAGACTTTTTGTTCCTACGTCTCCTATTTCATTTTCACTCAGAGCATCCAAGCTGCAGGACCACAAAGCAAGACATTACTAGGTTTCCTTTTAACTATTTTCTGTCCATTGATCATCTAAGATATCAGCTCATAAATTTGAGAGTCTACTGCACTTACCAGGCAATCAGGTAAGTGCAGGGCTTAAATTCAGACGGAGCTGTCTGGAATGGAGGCCTGGTAAATATTTTCAAACCCTCTGGAATTTTTATAGCATGTTGGGAGGAGAGGGGGGCGAGCTATGAGAAATGCTCTATAAGAATTTAAGCCCTGGGTAAGAGCAATCTTGCATATTCGAGCTCTTCTAATAAGCAGCTCTCGTTGCTTTCCAAACTCAGAGCCTAAGAAGATTTTAAAGAAGAATAGAACTACATGACCCACTTCCTTTGATATGCAAATGGTAGCACTTAATGCCCCACTTACACTACAAAATGAACATTGTTAAAACAGTTATGAAATAGTTGTGTCCCAACTGCATTTCCTCCCTACACGTACAGAAAAAAAAACGATGCTATAACAATCATCTTCACTGCTTCCTCTCCTGGATGTCCACGGAACATCTTCTCACTGCACTTCCCTCTGGTGGAAGGGATTTTAGGTAGGGGACCATATGGCCCATTTTGGCTGGGACAGTCCCTTTTTTAAGTCCTGTCCCGGCCGTCCCAACTTTTTTTGGCAAATGGGACAAATGCAAAGTTTTGCCAAAAAAGTGGGGTGCGACCCCTAGCGGGATTTGGAGGAACTTGGGGGGAGGGGAGGGCGAGCGGCAATGCTAGGCCAGCCCCACACAGAAGGGAGGGCTCAAGAGCAGCTCTGGCCTGGCCAGCCCCGCATAGGTGGGTGGCAGGGGTACTGGGTTGGCCCCATGCACCAGGGGCGGAGAAGGGGGCCTTGGGCTGGCCCCATGCGGGTGGGTGACAGGGTAGCCTCAGGCTGGCCCCGCGTGCCAGGGGATGGGGGGGATCTTGGGCTGGCCCCATGTGGGTGGGAAGTTCAGGGAGGGCTCAGACTGACCCCATGAGTGGAGGGGAGCCTCGGGCTGGCCCCGTGCAGGTAGACGGCTCAGGGGCTCAGACCACCCCATATGCAGGGAGGAGAGGGGGGCCTTGGGCTGGTCCTGTGGGGTGTCCCATTTTCCCTTTGGGAAAATATGGCCACCCTAATTTTAGGAGTCTGGATTTGAGGCCATACCCCCCACTTCTAATCTTATATAGACCACACTGGGAGCCATGGAGCAGGAACCCATTTGAATTGTGCTTGCCTTTCCTGAAACATCAGAGAATGGTCACTGATAAAGCAGGATCTGGGTCATAATGGGATAATGAGCTGAGCCAGTAAGGCAGGATCCTGTGGGCTATTATGTTGCCATCCATCATCTCATGGAATGCCCCATAAAAAGCAGTGGACAGTTCAGGGTGATAATCTATGGTAGAATATTGCCCTTTGTCTCTATGTTATTTTGTTTCCTGTTCAAAGGAACTTAAATATCTGGGGATAGTTGGCTTGACCTCAATGTGCGAGGGAAGTATTGAAGGGTCAGTTATAAACAGCTATTTTTTTGTTCATGATAAAGGAATGGGTAAAAACACAGGGCAAAAATGTGTTGTCATAGTATAATTAAGAAATAGCTAACCGTATATATCCATACATAGATCATCTCTTCCAGAAAAGGAAAAGAAAAGTATTACCAGAGGCTTCAGCACAAAGCATGTTAATTGCTCCCTTAGTGTTAAAGCAGTCATGATCCTCTCCCAAGCAGAACTTAAAACTAAAAGAAATTATGGAGATCACAGCCATCAATCTGAAAGCAGCTTAAGAGGCTCTTGGTACCAACAATGAGGAGGTTTTGTCAGGGCTCCTCTGCAAGGCAGAGATTCAACAGCAAAGTTAGCTGTGGCCACAAAACAAAACAAAAAACACCCTACCAACCTGAAGCCCCAGTCCTGCTTCTGCTGCCGAATGGCTAGAACTACAGTATTTCCAACAGTCATTACAGTGATCAGCCACACTCTTTGCTACAATGGTGCAACCCCACTGATTTAATTGGAACGACATGTGATTAATGATCATTCCCACAAGCAGTGTTTACAGGCTCAGGCTCAGAGTGGTTTTCCTCAAGCCCACAGAGAAAGTCAGCATCAGAGCTGGGATTAGAATGAGAGCTGGGCAGGACATGCAGTTCTTTTGCAATCTAAACACTTCACGAAATTGGGTTGTGTCATAAACAGATAGTTAAGGGTTAATGCCTCTTTTACCTGTAAAGGGTTAAGAAGTTCGCCTAGCCTAGCTGACACCTGACCAGAGGAACAAATGGGGGGACAAAATGTTTCAAAAGGAAGGAGGGAAGTTCCCTTTGTCTGGGTCAGTTTTCAGTTTTGACCGGAGTGGGAAAGCTCCAAAAATCAGCCTCTTATCAAGCAGTGAGTATTAGTGAAGGGAATAAATAGGTTGATGTTTATTTTCTTTGTAACTTGTCTTGGGCATTAGGGAATAATCAAATTGGGTAATTTTT